ATCCTTAATACAAGATCTGTATTCCAATAAAATAACCAGATAGTACCAGAAACACAACAAGCCCCCCAGAAAAAAATTTAAAGTGCTAACAGAACCAATAGAATTTTGTATAAGAGACCCCCAATATCAATGATGCTGGATATCTTAGATGAATTCCTGATATGTTAGCTTTCCCACAAGGGGATAACAATAGAGTTATTCAGTGAACCATGGTCCTAAAAAGTGTTAGTTCTAAGCATTCGAGGTAATAAGTAGGATCACCTCATTAAATTTGAAGGTAATAAGACTTCTCCAATTCTTAGCTGAGTTAGAATTAAGAACAAGTCCTACCTTATCCTGGTTAAGTGAGATGTAAATAAATGTCCTTTGTACTATTCATTGATCTGTAAATCCTTGAATAGCACAGGTAATTACTCATCCCAGTTGTTCCTAGGACTTATCTTGACTTTAATAAAGCTTTAGAACTGATGCAGAAATGAGCTAGCCTTTAAAAAATAATAATAGTAATAATAATTTTATTAAAATATTTATTAGTCCAATTTGAGATTGCCAAACTTTCACAGGTGATAATTATATTAAAATATTCAAATCTTTAATCATATAATAATTTTATTAAAATATTTATCAGTCAAATTTGAGATTGCCAAACTTTCAATCAGGTAATAATTACTGTATATTAAAATATTTAACAATTAAATATGATTTTATCTAATATTTGATGTCTTACAAAACTTTTTTTCATTTAATACTTTTTTAAAAACAAAATTTTCTTATAAGAAAATTTTTACAAAAGCAAATAATAAAGTGGAGTTTTATATAAACCAATATTATAGCAAACATTTCTGTAAAGATTAGTCTTTCCTATGGCAATATTTTTAAATACTTGGGATCAACTAAACAGTTATCTCAAGTCAAAAAGCAATGAATAGAAAAGGCCTCCTCTATTTGTTTCAGTAATTCTAAAAAAACTGTCACCTTTATCTGGTAAGTAAGTACTAACTCTTTTAAAAAGAAAAAAAAAAGAAAGATTACATAAAATTGGCTTCAAGGGGAAAAAAGTCAGGTCTACCTGCTCAGAAACAACTGAAAATTAAACAATCTCTATTTCCAAAGGTATACAAGTATACAGTTTATAAAAAAGACTTCAACAGTTACTTAGCAAGAAAGAGACACTTCAATAGCATATACAAACCAGTACCTATAAAACTTGAGACATTAAAAACTTCAAAAAAGAAGTAAAAGATCATCTATCCCACTACTGCGAATAATGCAACAAAGCTCATCAGTGTCAATATTGATAATCTCAATATGGATTCAATCATTGGTACTATTAAATCATTAGAACAAGATAAATCAGGTAATTACCTGTTCTATCCCAATAGTAGATCAGCATTAAATAGCTCATTTTTAGTAATGAACTACAATCCTGTTGACAACTCCTTTGGTTTAGTTATACAGGGCTATGCTACATATAGAATTTTATTTATCAGTCAAAAAAATGATCTTATCAAAGATTGGGCAAATGAGGAAATTCTTGATAACAAATTGTACTCCAAACATAAGAGTATCCTAAAAGATATTCTTATCTAGATATAACTAGTATAAAAAAGTAAACTATACTAGTTATATGTCTATCAATATATACTTATCAGGATTTTACAAGTTTAGTGATCAGAAGACCTTAATAGGAAAAAAAATTTGCTAGTATCACACTAAAGTATCTAAAATCTTTGATACAGGTTAAAGTATATAATAGTCTGATAACCAAATTATTTTTTTTTAAAGTGCTAGCTAATTCTTGTGCCAGTTCTGAAACTTTATTAAAGTCAAGATTGATCCTAGAGACAACCAGGATAAGTAATTACCCATACTGTTCAAGGATTTACAGATCAATAAATAGTATAATGGGCATCTATTTATGTCTTACCTAACCAGGATAAGATAACTATGTGACCGTCTAGTGTAGGATTATTTTTTGATTCTAACTCAGCTAAGGTTTTGGGGAGTCTTATACATTCAAATTTAATAAAGTGATTCTCTAAATTTTTTATCTCTATACTTGGAAGCAGCATTTCCTAGGACCATGGTTCACCAAATGACTTGTTGCTATTTCCCATGTTATAGGAAAAACTAATGTGTCAGGAACTCATCTAAGATACCCAGTACTAACAGTGTTGAAAATTTCTTATGCAGAATCATATTGACTCTGTTAGTGCTTTTTTTTTTAATTTTTCTTGAAGACTTGTCATGTATATGGTACCTGTCTTGTTACTGATTAGAGCTTGGTTCTGTGTTAAGGACAACAGTTCCTTCATTTTGGTATCTTTATGGGTCTATCTTGATCATTCTATAGGTAATCAGGTTCTTCTTCTTCCATTTAGGAATGATCAGTTCTTATACTTTGGGATCTTTTATATTACTTATTTTGGTCATGCTTGTGAAACCTTGTGTGTATCTTATTTTGTTATGCCTGCAATAAGTGAATGGTTTTCTTCTTTATATTCTTGATAGGTACTTGAGATCGGTTGTGTATGTAAGGTCTGTATTACTTATTAGCCTTATATAGAACCTTGTGTTGATTTGTCATTCTTACTATAGACGTAATGAGTGAATAGGTTCTCCTTATTGTCTTGTGGAGTACTTGATTATCATCATGGGGGATGAGATCTTCATACTATCTTATGGTTTAATTTTCACTTGGTCCTCATGTTGTATTGAACTCTGGACTTTGTGATTGTGACTTGGGAGTATTACTACTGTGCTATTGATCCATAGGTCGATAACCAAATTATTTTAAAAGTAGTCTAGATATAGTTATATAATTAATTTATATAACAATACTACAATATGTAACATATTATTTGTATTAGTATACAAGTTTTGTTTTGTTTTTATATATCCTCTATCAGGTTAGATATATATGCTTTATTAAACATATGTATACTTTACATTAAAGATATATCGCTAAAGCTAAGTCTTTATCTAACTCGTTCATCTCTATTTTAAGAATTATTAAAACTCTAAATACAACTTCTGGAGTAATTTATCATTCCATTAGCAGTTCAAATAAAGATTTTTCCAATAGTTAATTTTATTGCCTGCAGATTATTATTGTGGATTATTAGTATACAAGTTTTATTGTGCTCTACATTATATAATATACTTAATAAAGAATATGATCAAAAAATATTAAACAACAAACTAAAAAAAATTGAAAGTGAATGAATCCCTGAAAAAAAAATCTACATTGCAAGAGAGACATTAACAAAAGATTTTTTAAAGATAATAAAGGAATATACCACAGTAAAAAATAAAAAAGAAATTATCAAAAATATTATTGTAGATTCTTGATCATTCTTCAGGACAAATGGCAACTGAGATGCCACTCTTCTTACAATGAAAAATGAATTAAATCATAATTAAAAAAGATAAAAACACTAGATAAAAGAATCATTGCATACAAATCATACATCCCAGGAATCAACAAAATCATAAAACACTCTAGTCAACACTAGATTAACTGAAACACAATATACTCTTTCAAACCAAATTTTTGTGGGATAGGTAGAGCCTTGGCAGATTAGTCAAGTATATACTGTATCAGTACTTGGTAATAAGTTACATGATATGACTATTCTTAGTGAGTTTAATTAGGTAGCTAGAGAGTTAAATTTATATAAAATAAATTTGTATATACTCACAAATAATATCTAATAAACAAGGTGTAAGCCACCTGTTAAAAAAAAAAATTATCAAATATTTATTACTGTATAAGTTATCATTATTAGATTTATAATTTTCGTAAAATTAAGATTTGTAATTCCGGTTAACATTAGTTCATAACTCTGGTTGACGTTGATTATAACCTCGTAGAATTAAGATTGTAATTTCAGCCGGCATCGTAATTTTTTTCATTAATCACATTTCACTCTGAGATGTCACAGCGATTATCGCACCAGCTAAAGTGAAGATTAGCCAAAAAAATTTTTTAAAATCAATTGATTAATATACTGTATAAGACATTATTGTTTATTATAAAAATCGGATTAAAAAAAACACTCATTAGCAAGAAAAAAAATTTTTTTCTTATTCAAATAATTGTTCGTGGTATTAAATTTCTCAAGATTATAGGGCACGTGAAATAATTGACAGTGATAATTTTGCTTATTGTTGACAATGTCAAATGTGGTAGATCAGATGCAATTTGTTCGATCTTCCATATTTGTATAAGTTACACAATGTCAAACGGAGATCTGCTGTGGGGTAATTTCCAACTTTAACTGGCACAATATACTATGCGATTAATTATTTATTAATGGTGAAATATGAAATATTTACAAAAGCGTCACTATAAGAATGGATGTACATATTACTATACATAGTAGTGCTACTATAACAAAAAAAAAAAAGATACCTACTGTACATCGCATATAATGACGGTGGAAGAAATTGTAACCTTTCATTAAAAAAAAAAAAAAAATGTAATGTAGGTCGAATTAATGTGGTGTCAAATAATTTAAATAATTTTCATAATTAAAACTCTCGCAAAAAAAAAAAAGTATTATTAATGAAATGGGTGGAGTCGGAAAACGAAGGGTATAGGGTGCGAAAAAGGTACAGTATATACGGTTTTATATACTGTACATTCATATAGTGCAAACGAAGTTGATTTTTTGCAAAAGAGGAAAAAAAAAAAAGAAAAAAGAAAAAAAAAAAACAAGAAATATATTATTAATACTAATAAAAAGAAAAACAAGAAATGTATTATTAATACTAATAAAAAGAAAGATGAGATCATACGTTCTCCCTATTACTTAAGTCTTGTGATTTGAAGATTGGGAAATTATTAATTTTGAGTTTAGAGTTTATGGATAAAATGGTGGAGAAAGGTGATGTGAAAATTTCAAAAAGAATAACTAATAAATAACGAACATTATCATCTAATTTAAAAATGTCTTCAATATCGTCGTCTGATTATTACTACCGCTTCTTTCCAAAAATCACTTATAAGGTTGAGAGAGGGAACTAGTCGGAAAACTTTGTGGTAAATAATGCTCGTTCTGTGATAATTGTTGCCACTGTGGTTCGGGCGGCTGTAGATTAGGGTATCCTTGTGCAGATCGCGTAGGGTCCTCACATTCTGGAAACGGAGGAATGATCATACATATCTGTTTCCCCGTCTCCGGGGTAGTAACTAGGTATCTACTATTGTTTGTTAACATTTGCGATGGCGTTTTCGCATCGTTTAATTCAAGATCATCTATTGTGACTGATGATTCACAAAAACAGATATCTCCATCCCTCTCGCAGAATAAAGGTGAATTGATTATATCTTCGACTGACATCGAAGAGTTGGTCCCATTTTTGGTTTGTTGACGATGAAATGAATATTTCTCTTTGGTCTGTTCATTATTAAAATCAAACGACGATAAATATGAAGGTAACATTTGCTGTTGATAACTGATGTTGTCGAGTGGCAAGAGATTATGTCTCGATGCTGAACCACTATTGTAACCGTAGTCAGACGCATCGCCCATGACAACGTCACATGAATTTTCGTCCTTGTGCAATTCTTGATATATTTGGTTTTTGTTCATATGTGTAGACTCTATTATATCTTGTACTGAATAAATGGATGAACCGCTGCAGGAGTTCACGTCTCTGCTACCAGAGATCTTATTTGCAAGTTGAATCTCCGTTGACGAAATGCTGAGGCCATCATCGCATAGTTCATTTCTTTTACCCCAGTATTTCTCCAATGACACCACTTTTTCCCTAAGAGATCTGTTTTCTTCTTGGATTTGTGCACAAACCAGTCCCATCTCCTTCAGCTGATCTTCGTATTCTCTGACTCTGGCTTCCAGATCTTTGACGTAAGCATCACGGCGCTGACGGAACTTTCGTTGGTTATACAAATTCTGCTCGTGTTTTTTCTGATGAGAAAAAAAAAAAAGATGTAAGCTGATAAGAAAAATGTCATTGATAACATTTGATTCGAAGTAAAACCTACATCTGTGGGGGGAGTTGCTAAAGGCTTACGTCCACGTCTGTTTGGCATAGGTTTTCCTATCGGTGGAGGGGGCATGGTTTCTATGGTGACAAATGACACGTTACATTGTTACATTATGATTTTTTTTTTCTCAAGATTTTGAACATGCAATTTTACTTACTATAAGCGATAACCGGGAGAGTACTGAACGAAGTAGCTGTAGTAGACTGCGGCCAGGTTGTTATTAACAACTCAGTATGCTTAGGAGTCGAGGAAACCGTTGAAGGTCTGGTAGGAATGGGCGACGTTTGAACCGAGGCATCCATTTTCGACGACGGTTGGATATTGGTGGACATGTTTCATAAAAAAGTTGCAAGCTATGTTGATTGCAAAAGAGACTCTTTTATAAGAAATTACGAAGGTAACATATATTAAGGCTGTCCTTGTCCAATTATTTATGCACGCGACCCGAGGCATGATAATATTGAATAAGTATGCACATGCTTTCAAATTTTTTACGCACGCAAAACCAATTCTTTTCGCTGTTGAACACTCGATTATAGATATCAAATGAAAAAGGTAATAGAATATCATGGCAATTCTTGTAAATTCTTTTTAAAGGCGAAAAAAATGCTAGTACAATTTCAATGATTTTCCATGATTTTCCATGATTTTCAGGTACCAAATTTTTACTGTATACAGTATGGTGCAAAAAAAGTTTATACAGTACATACATGTTTGACATGATGTATGTAATTCACCAAAAATAAAACGATTTTCGATTACCCAGTACAGCAAACCTCAGTTACAGTACTTTCACACCTTCTCTTGCAAAAATGTCGCCTTCCCGGAAAAAAGGCCAGCGCGAAGCTCTCTTATTTGTGGGATGAAGGTGTACGTAACGCGAAAGAAATACGGGTGCCCCCTCTCCACTATCTATGAAAACATTAAAAAACTTGAAGTAACTGGAATGATTGAGCACCACGGAGGTAATGGCCGGCCTAAAAAGCTTACTGGAAGTGCGAAGCGAATGATCGGACAGTATATCAACAGGGATTCCATCATTTAATCAATAACTATGGCAATAAAACTTGCTCAGAAAGGTATTACAGTGTCTTATAGCACTGTTTTGAGGCATTTAGCCAAAGCTGATATGCATAAAGACTCCCTCGAAAGACTCCTTTACTTACCTCCATCCACAAACAAGCGCGTGTAGAATGGGCTCAAAAACACCTTGATGACAATTGGGGATAAACGGTTTTTTCAGACTAAACAGCTTTCCAGATCTTCCGAAACA